CAAAAAAAAGCCGCTATTTAAATGATCACGGCTTCATTTACATTTACATGGCTGCCGCGCTGAGCCGACAAACAGCTGATCCCACGAGGAATAACAGGGCTGCCGACAAAGGGCTTTGATGTTGGCAGGGGAGCATCCAGACTAGTGCACTGAGTGGACAAACAGTTGATCAGCTGTTTGTCGGCTCAGCGCGGCAGCCATGTAAATGTAAATGAAGCCACGATCATTTAAATCGCGGCTTCATTTGCCTTTGCCTATGTGTCTAATCTACATGCCTCTGACGACAGAGGCATGTAGTCTAGACACAGCCCTAGAGTCAGAGCATGACTCTGACTGTTAATCATCTACCCAGGCTACTTCCATGGTTATCATGGCAGCCATGAAACCTTGAATTGTTCTGGAAGAATGGTCACCTGCATAGACGCTTACATCAACAAGCAGAATTAACCTCAGCAAATCCAGTACCACCACAAAATGGAACTCAAAATAGAATCCAGGTTTTGCCTCCGTGGTGCAGCACGGCAACCAATACAAACCCTATTCTCTGGCATATGAACAGTAAATCAGGTCTAGATATGATGGTCTATAGTGCAAATAAACAGACTAGTACAGTAATTTTAGATTACAATTTAGACATTAAAAAGTCTCAAGGAGTAGCTGTGTTAGTCTGTAGCTTTGAAAGTAATGGGTAGTCCTGTGACACCTTACAGACTAACAAAAATATTAATAGTATCATGAGCTTTTGTGGGCAAAACCCACTTCTTCAGATGATCTTGAGTTAGTCTCTAAGGTGCTAGGGGACTATTTGTTTTTAATGTAGACAATAGCTATTCTTTTGATGAATTTTTTTTAGAGTCTGTTATATTTTTATGAATGAAGGATTTATGTATGTATTTTTGGGGGAGAGTAAGACTGAAGGACTCCTCTCAAACTATCAAGTCCATAATCCTATGTTTCTAAAACCTGACTGGTATCTTTCATCAGCAACTGGGGAGTCCCAATAAGTCCAGGGATGTTTCTGGTTCCAGTGGACCTTGGAAGGGACCTCTGTGTGTGAGGGGAAGCAGGCAATTTTTCAGGGAATCGCCACAGAGTCAGAGAGTAGGTGACATGCTTCCTTACCCAGCCCTATGCATTCCTCTCTTTAGCATGCCCAGTCTCCCTCTGGCTACATCTACACTGCAGGCTTCTTGTGCAAGAACTGTTTTGCGCATACTGCCATGTGCTTTTGCGCAACAGCGTCCATGGTGGTGTGGACACTCTCTTGCACAAGAAAGCTCTGATGGACATTTTAGCCATAGGGATTTCTTGCACATGAAAGCCCTGTTGCCCGTCCACACTGCCTTCTTGTGCAAGAGCTCTTGTGCAAAAGGGCTTATTCCTTGTGGGGAGAGGAATAACTCTTGTGCAAGAAGCCCTCTTTTCTGATGCTTTACTGTAAATTTACTTGTGCAAGAACGTGCATGCAGTGTAGACACTCCGCACGTTTTTGCACAAAAAGCCTGCAGTGTAGAGAGAAAACAGTTTCTTGCCATTTTAACCAGAAAGGACACTCTCTCAATGACTTGACCACCTGCATTCTGCTACAAAGACCTTTTACATCTGCACTTGAAAGGGAATCCTCTGAACTGTCATTCATGTTAAAATTCGACACTTGCCAACAAGGACTTAACAAACATTTGAACTATCTCACCCATTACCAAGACAGTTTCCCCAATTATCACCTGTAATACCATTAACTCACAAACATCCCACGTCTGGGGTAGTTGAAGCAAAATGCAGGACAATGTAGCACTTTAAAGACTAACAAGATGGTTTATTAGATGATGAGCTTTCGTGGGCCAGACCCACTTCCTCAGATCAAATAGTGGAAGAAAGTAGTCACAACCATATATACCAAAGGATACAATAAAAAAAATGACTGGCCCACGAAAGCTCATCATCTAATAAACCATCTTGTTAGTCTTTAAAGTGCTACATTGTCCTGCATTTTGCTTCTGTACCCTGGGCCCTGTAGAGAAGTCTGAAGAAGGTGGAGATGAGGCTACAAGGGAAGTTGCCAGAAGAGGCAGAGGTTCCTTTACTATAGTGGTTCTCAAACTTTTTGGCTCACGGGCTACGCCACTCGACGCAAACCTTTCAGCAAACCAGTACTGAACCACCAGCCATGATGGCAAAATGTTTACAGGAGAGGTTAGGGATGTGAGGTCTGGGCAGGAGGGAGGGTGTAGGAGCCAGCTGGGGTAGAAAGCCAATGGAAGCAGTGGGGAAAGCTCCAGGTGAGTAGTTTCCTGCACTACCATTTCTCCAGCCAGGGGCAAAGGCAGATGCAGCACATGGAGCTGCATCCTACCCCTGCAAGCTGAATCCAGTTCACAAGGCTTGGGGCTCTCTCCTCCCTTCTCCCACCCCCAGCAGTGGGAAGCCAGTGCTGGCACTCCAGCCTTGCATTGGGGTATGTGGGGAGCTGCAGCTCCAGTGAGACAGTCATTTATGGACCACTTTTTGAGAACCACTGCTTTACTAGTTACACAAAATATAACATGGTGGTGGTGCTGGTAGTAGAAATGGGACTGTTTTCTTCCTTCAGGTGTCCTAGTTGGGAAAGAGACCTGTCCACTTGCAGGATTAGAGTAAGTAGTGGCTGTATATAGTAGCCTCCTGAAGAATGTATGCATGTGCCAGGGCATTGTAGGGGAAATCAGTATCAAAGGGACATATTATGTTAGGATGAGAGCATTCAAGTCCTGGTCCTCCCAGAAGACAGCTAATGCTAACTGGAGGGCTGTGTCTACACTGGGCCACTTATTCCGGAAAATCAGCCGCTTTTCCGGAATAAGCTGCGAGCTGTCTACACTGGCCCTTGAATTTCCGGAAAAGCAACGATGCTCTACTGTACAAAATCAGCTGCTATTCCGGAAAAACTATTCTGCTCCCGCTCGGGCATAAGTCCTTATTCCGGAACACTGTTCCGGAAAAGGGCCAGTGTAGACAGCCCAGTAGTCTTTTCCGGAAAAAAGCCCCGATCGCGAAAATGGTGATCGGGGCTCTTTTCTGGAAAAGCGCGTCTACATTGGCCACAGACGCTTTTCCAGAAAAGGGGCTTTTCCGGAAAAGCAGCCTGCCAATGTAGACGCTCCTTTTCCGGAAAAACTGAAAACGGAATAGTATTCCGTTTTAAGCATTTCCGGAAATTCATGCCAGTGTAGACACAGCCAAGATGTGTGTATGTGTGTTTGTGCACCAAGAGGTTGTGGTCCCAGGCCTTCAAGAGTTGGTAAGTAAAAGGGAATGAAGGGATTTTATCGTGGTGATGGGGGAGGGGGGAGGGCAGGAAATGTATGGTGGTTTACACTGAGGTTTTCATTGAGAACTAACCTGAATCTCCATATGGATCAAAAAAAGAATGACAAATTCCAATCCCTGTAAATCAAATGCCTGGTTGACTTCTCATAACCCACATGAAAATAAAATCAGTCCAATCCAGGCCTGTTTAAGAGTTCCAGGTTTTCATCTCTTTGCTCACAAAGACTCCTGAAGGTATTATCCTGAGGGGCCATCTCTTCTGGTATTGCAGTTAGAAGGCATTAGTTCATGCATTGCTGGTATGTCAAAGTATGTAGCTGATAGCTTGGTTGCCTCATTAGTTATTCCTACCTCATGTGGAAAAAAAATAGCTGCCTTAAAGTGTAGTTCAGTGTGCATGTTCTGCAGATTCTCACAGAGAGACCTGTGGTTACCTCAGTCTGCTGATTGTTCTGCATTCTTCCAATGTGGACACCCAGAGCTGTTGAAAATAATTGAGACACTTGTCAACAGGGTAGGAGACTGGGCTTCATCAAAACTGTTTTAGTCTCTGGAACGGATGACCTTTTGATGCAGTTTGTTTTAGTTGGGAGCTAAGTGTGTGATCCAGTGTGGTGTGAAATGCCTCTTCTGAGGCACTGAGCATCTTCACCTCCTTCTGAAGTCACTGGTAAAGGGGAGCAGTTAGGACTCACTGGAGGCACTCAGCACATTGCAGGATGAGTCCCCACACTGCTTTTGAAAAGAGAAGCATGCTTTCTAATTCAATGAGCTTTGTAACCAAGGGTTTTAAATTATACATATATACAATTATTATGAGTAACTCTTTCTATTTTTCAAATTTAGGGTATACAAAAATGATACACTAAATATCAAATTAAAATCACTTCATTATTCAGACTGGGTTGTAAAGGCAGGTACTTAAAGGGATCTATCTATCTATCTATCTATCTATCTATCTATCTATCTCCCACAGAAAATAAATTCTAGAAAGGATGTAATTCCCTAATTGTCCTGTGCTATTACGGTTGGTATTGTAATAATGATAATAATACATAAGAAAAATAGAAGTTTCTGGGTGGTTATATTTTGCCAGTATTTTTTTTTTTTTATTGCTGTAAACTGAACCAGCTGATGAAGAGCCTCAAGGGAGGGGACAGGATCGCCCTTGCTTCCTGTTCAGCCTTGCCATAGCAAAAAGCTAATGAAAGAAAAGAATGTAATGGACTTGCAATCCAGGTAAAATGATCAGGAGAGTTCATAGACCAATTGATTTTTCATCTTACATTATGTTAATTTTTTATCACAGATTTAAAAAAACATAATGCAAATAAGGGCTTGTCAATAAGGCTGTATTTTTATGCCTTTGTAAAGGCATAAATATAAAACTACTCCTAGGGAAGTGTCAGCTGAGATACTTTTTTTAGCAAAAGTATAGTGGTGAATGTTAAAAGAAATTTGTTAAACTAAAAAAAAATAACTTGTGTGTGCAAGTATCAACATCTGTATACCAATGCACACACATGTGGACACCAGTATATATTAATATGGAAATGTTTAATTAAGTTGTCTGAAAGTGTAAACAGCAAATCTGCTTTGAATAACCCATCAACTAATTTATTGAAAATTGCACTGTTGACCATTTTTTTACTGCCCAGTCTCAGCATGGAGAAGAAAGATATTAGCTGCATCATTGTGAAGCAATGAGATTTCTGTAAGTCGTGATCTGCTGGCATGTAATAACTCGATCTGCTTCATGCAGACAAAATATATTAAAAGTATGGACGAGTGAAGTTTGTGCCCCAGGGAGAAGGCAAGATAATGCATTGAAATTGTTCAGAGGTAGTTAGATACCTAATGGTCTAATATGTGAGCTATGTGAGGTCTGGGGTCTGGTTCTCATAAATTCTGGCTAGACTGATCCTGTAATTTCAAGCAAAGGATAAAAGCGTTAGCCAGAGTCATCAGTGTTCAAGGTCCATGATGCCGGATATTATTCATGTAAAGATTCAAGAAAAACACTAAAAGGAAAGCTCTGGAGCATGTGTGTGTATGTGTTTGTATAAATACACACAAACAATGTGCACACATTTATATGAAAATACTATGCTATGTGCTCACAAACACATTATATAAAACAGTGTGTTAATATGTGTATAATAATGCACGTATCTTTATATACAATCACATAAATCACACTAACAAATGAATAGCTGAAATAAGATTATTTTAAAAACCCTTTAGTTAGGTGATATTTTAGTGAGTGGCAAGTTAATCTGTAGAATGACAAAAGCTAAATCTTGTTTAACCATTGATGCTTTATATTAACACTTTATTTTTGTATTGGCAAAATATGAGATTTTGTTCTTTAAAGTCTCAAATTACTCATCTGATTGTTTAAAAAGCTTTGCTTATGATTACAGCAAACCGTCACAAAGATGCTGCTGATAATGCACCTGCTTGCTTTTTTAATTTTGTACAAATGCTTTATTCAGCCAGTCAGGTCACTCCAGTGAGATCAGTAGCCACTGGGATTACACGTTGAGATGCTACATCAGAACATCTGAATGCAACATGGTGAATGTCATAATTTTGCATCATTGTACAATAATTAAAACTCAACTCGCTGCTTCAGTAGTATCACTGGAGTGTTTAAAGCTCCAAGCAAAACAGCTGGGGCTAATTCACAACCAATCCCTTACAAACATACACCCCTGCAATACCCAGTTTATGTTACACATAAGAACTGGACTTCTTAGCATTCATTTAACTCCACTTTATCTTTTATGTTTAAGGTCTGTCCAACCTATGTCGTTCTATTGCTGTAAAATACTATGTCACTTGGGGTACAGCTATACAGTACTGCACGGCTATTTTGAAATAGTTAGAATAGTTATTTTGAAATAGCACGACTCAAAATCAGTCCAAGGCAGGCTTCCCTAATGTAGGCATTTTATCTCAATTTAGAGCCCCAGGAGGCACTGGGAACGAATAATTTAGAATGGCCCTAGTGAGGGGCTATTTTGAAATAGCAGTGGAGCATCTACACACGCCTTATTTTGAAATAGCTATTTCCCCATGGAATGAGGTTTACAGATTTCGGAATAAGCCGTCCGTTATTTTGAATAGTGATAGAAATGTAGCCGTGTTAGTCTGGGGTAGTTGAAGCAAAATGCAGGACAATCCTGAGTGATTGGAAAAATAATTGTTGCTCAGCTGCACATTGTGCTGATTTTTAATCACCCAATCCCAGATCACCCTCCTCCCCCCTAAATCTTAGTACATGAACAGCCCTTTTCATGAGGATCATTCCACCTTTGTGTGCAATGAGGTCTCAGTCTCCTCGTAGATACTGGCCACCTTCTCCTCTGGGCTCTGCTGGAGAGCAATGGAAGCAGGGCAAAGGGCAGACACAGATTGAGACTTAGTGGGTTGGAGCAGTGGTCGTAAGGTGTAAGGGCAAAATATAGTGTGGCCAGCTCTTTTCCTGCATAAATTATTTCAGAGAGATAATACAGCTTTTTGCCTTCCTCAAGCCATCTGGATGAAACCTTGAAGGATATTGTACTCCTGCTCCCCAACCTTCTCCCATCAGATGATCCAGCACAGCCCTAAATAGCTCAGGAGAGCATTTTATAACACGAGAAAAAAGGCAAGGAGTTCCTAAATATATTTGGAGGGTTCCCATTTCTATTTGCTTTGCAAAACATGGACAGATATGCTGTATCTCCGGGAGTTTAATCTCGGGACTATATGCTGTCAAATTTAAAATAGATAGACTTGTTTTTGTTGAAGTGCTTTCTCTTTTTCTAAAATGTGTCCTGTGTTATGGAAAGCTGGAGAGTAATACAAGATGCTTTTTTGCAAACTCATTGTACACTTCAATAGCATTTTGAATTGACAGATCCTTTTGCCTTGGTTTTTTTTCCAGCTGGAAGCAAGGAGAGGGCAGGAGATTAACAACTCAAGTTTTTAATGTAAATTTGAAAATGCTTTCATGTCTGTGATGCATCCCACCTTGTCTTCTCCTTGTTTCCCAGTAAGTTTGGCCCAGATTTTTCCCCTCGATCCACTCCTGCAGGGGACCCCTCATACGTAGCTCCCCACTTCCATGAAAAAGGGAGGTCAATTCCCTTTGGATACTGAAGGCCTCTGCATGGTGTAAGATCCATGCAGAGAGTGCGTGGTCTGGAGGGTGCAGTCCCTCACCATTCCCATCAGAATTTAATAAAAAAAAAGTAATACATGTAGGGACTGTATTATCTTCCCTGTGATGCTGCCGACTGTGGGGCAGTCACAGCTAAAAAGAGAGCTCCACTTGAGCGCTCTTCCTTGGGAACTATTGCCAGGCCAGGAGCTAAAGTTCACATGAAGATACAGAGTCTCTTTATGAATGGCCCAGGATCCAGTAGGTTTGCAAGTGGGCTCTGTGACCTTTCTTGCTGGTGTGCAGTGTGCAGCTCCTTGCCGCCGGAGTTCACTGACCCTCCAGGAATTAAAATTTAATCTCTAATTAAATATTATGCCATATGATGAAACCTCCAGGCATACGGCCAACCAAAACAGGCAACATTTTCCCACATTGGGATGCCATGGGTGGAGGGATACCTGCTCACAGATCCTGGCAGACATTTCTTCTCCTGAGTAGCTGCTTATGGATGTTTATATGGGAGGGGAAACTCTGGAACTTTATTTTGAAATCAAAATTTTGAAATGTTTAGGATAGTCAAGACAGAAGCAGACTGTGAGGGACTCCAAGAAGATCTCACAAAACTGAGTGATTGGGCAACAAAATGGCAAATGAAATTTAATGTGGATAAGTGTAAAGTAATGCACATTGGGAAAAATAACCCCAACTATATGTACAGGATGATGGGGGCTAATTTGGCTACGACAAATCCGGAAAGAGATCTTGGAGTTATTGTGGATAGTTCCCTGAAAACTTCCACACAATGTGCAGCGGCGGGCAAAAAGGCAAATAGGATGCTAGGAATTATTAAGAAAGGGATACAAAATAAAACACAGAATATCTTACTGCCCTCGTATAAAACTATGGTACGCCCACATCTAGAATACTGTGTACAGATGTGGTCTCCTCACTTCAAAAAAGATATTGTGGCCTTGGAAAGGGTTCAGAAAAGGGCAACTAAAATGATTAGGGGTTTGAAACGGGTCCCATATGAAGAGAGGTTAAAACGACTGGGACTTTTCAGTGTAGAAAAGAGGAGACAGGGGGGATATGATAGAGGGATATAAAATCATGAGTGGTGTGGAGAGGGCGAATAAAGAAAAGTTATTTATTAGTTTCCATAATAGAAGAACTAGAGGACACCAAATGAAGTTAATGGGGAGCAGGTTTAAAACTAATAAAAGAAAGTTCTTCTTCACACAGCATATAGTCAACTTGTGGAACTCCTTGCCAGAGGAGGCTGTGAAGGCTAGGACTATAACAGAGTTTAAAGAGAAGCTAGATAATTTCAT